GAGTTCAAATGACCCCTCAAATCCTCAATATAAAATCTCAAAATTCAAGCCCTAGTTCTTCCCCTTTTTGCTAAATTTTCATAAATTTCTAGATGGATTTCACAATAAAAATGAGTATTGAGACCAAGATTCTTACCTCAAGTCGTTTCCCTTTGAATCCCTCCTTCTTTTCCTCAAAAAATCTCCAAAAATGAGCAGCCATGGGTGAAAATAGACCCAAAATCGCGAACAAGATGATTTTAAAACATTCTACCCAAGTATTTTACTCTTACTCAATCACAGGAAATGCTTCGTAATAGCGGAGAACAATTTTCCAGCCCAAAATTTACTCTTCGCGATCGCGGACGACGCTTCGCGATCGCGATGAACAGTTCCCAGCTCTTCCGAACAGCCTCCAGTATAACGGTCATAACTTTTTGCACACAATGCCAAATGACAAATGGTTTGATGTTCTGAAAAATAGACTCAAAGATCTACAACTTTAATGTGTTGGTCAATTCAGAATGCTTTATAGATTTATAGATATAATCTGACAAGTAAGCCCATGTGCAACACGACTTTCCTCTTCATCTTCCCGGACACCCTGTAGTATAATAGCAATATCTCTTCGTACACAAATCCAAATCATGAATGGTTTACGATTATAGAAACTAGACAAAAAGGGATACAACTTTTGTTTTTACATCATCTCAAAATTCCTTATAGATTGTGAGATATGAGCTTCCGAAGTAGGATCAACGCAACATAATATTTCTTCTCCGCGATTGCGAAAGGCTTTACGCGATCGCGATGCATTGGCTTGTTTCTCACATTTTACTCACCGCGATCGCGACCCATTGTCCGCGATCGCATAGAACACTGCTTTAGACAAAATCCAGCAGTTAAAAAGCATACATAAGTTCTATTACCTTATTCAAACTTGCTCGAACCATCAAAACACTACCATTAACATAAAAATAATCAAATTTCATCAAATCAAAGCCTAAGTTTAACTAGAACTTCCAAAGCTCGCATCAGATTAAAAACCCGACCTAAACACCTTCGAATCAACTAAAAGTTTGCGCACACATCCCAAATCACCTAACGAAGCTACTACAACTCTTGAAATTCCATTCCGACCCTCGGATCAAAATCTCGCATACCAACCAGATTTCGCTAAAATACTAACTTCACCAATTCAAGCCAAATTCTACACCGGACTTTCAAAACCACTTTCGATCACACTCCTAAGTCACAAATCATCTCCCGAAGCTAACCGAACCATCAGAATTCACATCCGAGCCCTCTAACTCATAAGTCAATATCCAGTTGACCTTTTCAACTTAAGGCTTCTTAAAAGAGACTAAGTGTCTCATTTATTATTAAAACCACTTCAAATAAACTTGATTACACAAGATATGGATAGTGAAGCATAAGGAAGCTAAACATGGGGAAATCGGAGCGGTAACTCATAAGACGACGGGTCGGGTCGTCACAACTATCTGGTAGTCTAGTCCTAGCCTCTTCATTTCTTTGCCGAGGTTAGGCAAGCCACTTACCAGCACATGGGGTCGGTTGTGCTGATGCTACACTCTATGGTCTTTTGCACAGATCCCGGTGTTGGAGCAACTTTTAAGAAGCAGTAGTAGATCGGGAGCATGCCTTCAGTCCAGAGACACCGAGGTAGCCTTTCTGAAGTCCGCATGCCCGGAGTCTCCTCTATCTTTATTTCAGTTTGTTATCCTTTGAACCGAAACAAAAAGATTTATGTTTTATTCAGACCTTGTATTTAGCATTCTCTAGACGTTCGTGAGTTTGTGACTCCAGTTCTTGGGTAGAGAGTTATATTGGATTTTCCGTATTTCATTCAGTTATTTACATTAAAGACTTCCGCTTAATTATTAAATGTTTCATTGTTTATAAAATTGTTGATGTTTGCTAAAAGAGGTAATTAATAACTGGTTTGCCTAGCTCTTAATAATACACGCCATCACGACTCCCGAGGGTGGAAAATTTAGGTCGTGACATTTTAGAAAACAAGTGATGACCTTTTAGGTTATTTTAGGGCCATAAAATAGGAATTTAAGACGATTTTTAATTTTTCGTGTGCTAATGTTCTTAAGATCTTCATGAGTTAGGTTGATGAGATCAGAATAGCCTTAAATTTTCTAGGTCCCTCAGAAACAACCTAATGAACAATAGTGTATGATTGTTCCTTGTTTTACGATATATTAAACATGAACTCAAGACAATTTCTAATTTTTCATGTGCTAATGTCCGCCATCTTCATGAATTAGGGAGATGGACTCCGAATAGCCTTAAATTTTATGGGCCCATCATAAACGACCAAATAGACAATATTCATCACTTTGCCATGATCGTTCATTATTTTTGACATTTTAGCATCATAAAAGAGGAATTCAGGATGATTTTTCAAATTTTCGTGTACTAATGTCGATGTCATTTTCATAAACTCGGGTTACGGGCTTTGAATCGTATAAAATTTTATCGACCGATCATAAAAGACCTCATGAATAAGAGTCATCGTTTTGCCATGACTATTTCCAATTTTTTGAGTATTTTAAGGCCATAAAATAGGAATTAATGATGATTTCTAATTTTTCGTGTGCTAATGTCCACGCGATTTTCATGAATTAGGTTGACTGGCTCTAAATAGCCTAAAATTTTGTTGGCAAATTAGAAATGACCCAATTAGCAATAGTCATCACTTTGTCATGATAGTTCCTCTTTTTTGGCATTTTAGGATCATTAAATAGGAATTAAGTATGATCTAATTTTTATATGCTAATGTCTACACCATCTTCATGAATTCAGGTGACGGGCTTTGAATCGCCAAAATTTTTATGAGCCTATCAGAATCAATCAAATGAATAATAGTCATCACGTTTCCATGACCATTCCTCAGTTTTGTTTTTGCATTTTAGGGCCATAAAATGGGAATTTAGGACAATTTCAAAATTTTCATGTGCTAATATCTATGCCTCTTCATAAATTCGGTCAACGGGTTCTAAATCGCCTAAAATTTTGTAGGCCCATCAGAAATGACATAATGAACCATAGTCATCGCGTTAGCATTTTAGGGCCATAAGATAGGAATTCAGGATTATTTCTAATTTTTTGTGTGCTAATGTACATGTTATATTCATGAATTAAGACAACAAACTCCGAATAGCTTAAAATTTTGTGGACCCATTAAAAACAACCTAATGAATAATAGTAATTGTTTCTCCATGAATGTTCCTTATTTTTTATCGTTTAGTGCCATTAAATAGGAATTCAAGACAATTTCTAATTTTCATATTTTAATGTCCACACCATCTTCATAAATTAGGGTGACTGACTCCGAATAGCCTAAAATTTTATGGGTCCATCAGAAATAACCTAATAAACAACGAAAAAGGGCCAAATACCCTCCCCCCCGGACTTTACGATAAGGTCTATATATAACCCTCGTTAAAAGTTTGGCCCATGACCAAATTTTATTGAGAAATTTTCATAAAACACTATTTTTTATTAATTCAATGTATTTCGTTTTAGCCGCTTTACTGCAGGTTGCTTGAATAGATCCATTAGGGATTTAGGGTTTTTCATTGTAATTCAATGTATCTCGTTGTATTTCATGTATTTTATTGTATTCACTATCTTTTTTTTCATTGTATTTCAATGTATCCCAATGTATTATATGTATTTCATTATATTCACTGTCTCGCTATATGCCATGAATGTATTCATATGTTTTTTTAATTAATATTATTTATGTATTCAGATGTATTATATAACTTTTTTGAAGATTGCTATGTCTTTGGGGTAATTTTCTGTTGAGAATCTTTTTTATAATTAAAAATACAAAATTTGTGTATTATAATTGAGTTTGTTGAGTTATACTAGGAGTCTATTATGTTAATTGATTCACTTTCCATTTTCAAAATAATGTAATCCCGTGTTTCACGCCGTGAACACAGTTGAATATAATAATCTTGTAACGACCCGAATCGTCGTTTCCTATAATTATGCCCCGTAAACCCCGTTAAATGCTTTTTCATGTTTCAATATGTGTATTTGGAGAATTTGAGTCAATTCGGGTCGAATTTGGTAAGAAATGAGACAATTAGTCTCCTTAATGAAGAGTTAGTTTGGAAAAGTCAACCCAATGTTGGCTTTTGAGTTAGAGGGCTCGGAACAGATTTCCGATGGCTCAACTAGTTCCGGGTGATGATTTGTGACTTAGGAGTGAAAACGGAAGTGAGTTCGGAGGTCCGGTGTGAAAGTTAGCTAAGATTGGCGAAGTTAGTATTTCGGCGATTTCCGGTTGATAGGTGAAATTTCGATCCGGGAGTCGGAATGGAATTTCGATAGTTCCTGTAGCTTCGTTAGGTGATTGTGGACTTGTGTGCAAATTTTCAGTTGATTCGGAGATGTTTAAGTCGGGTTTTTGATCGGATATGAATTTTGAAAGTTTAAGTTAAAGTTTGAATTGAATCTTAGGATTTTGGTGATTTTTGATGTTATAGGTAGCGTTTTTATTGGCCGAGCAAGTTTGAATGAGGTATTAAGTCGTGTTGGTGCTTTTGGTTGAGGTCCCGAGGGCCTCGGGTTGATTTCGGATGGCTAACGGGTCATTTTTGAAAGATTTTTGCCTTTTTAAGCATAAATGTAATGAACTAAAGGCTCATTTTTAGTTCTAGAGATCCAAAATTGATTCCGAGACTTTCGGAATTTAAATCATGAATTATAGGACTGATCTGAAAATTTTGGTTTAATTTCACCAAGTCGCGATTGGGTTTTTGACGCGATATGTGAATTAATTGTTTAACGAGCTAAATAGAGATTGAACTGAGCAAATGAGCTCCAAATTTAGTTTTGTTTGAACTTCTAGATCCGTATCGAAATTACAGAGCCGTAGGAAAAAGAATCGACTAATTCTGAGTTCGTATGATGGAGTTAGAGCCATTTTCGCGAAAAAGGGCTGTGCTGCAATTTCTGTAAAAAAGCTGCTGTTTTTTTTTTTGGAATAGTGAACAGTACATGCGGTTGCTGTTCACCGCAGGTATATTTTTTGAGCAGTCCGATTTTTGATCATTTTTATCACTATTTCCAACCGATTTTGAGAGCATTTGAACGAGATTGAAGGGAGTTTCGACTGGAATCATTGGAGGTAAGTTTTATGAGTTAAATACATGATTTTATTGAAGAATCATCCTTGAAATTCATGAAAACATAACAAAAATTCATGTTTAGGGCTTTGAATTTCAATTCTTTCAATGAGGATTTGAGTGGTCAAATGGACTCCGATTTTGGTAAATTTTATATGAACGGACTCGTGGCGAGACGAGGAATCCGGTGATGTGATTTTCGTAATTTTTCGAGACGTGGGCCCGGGGCTCGGGTTTTGTCAATTTCGTGAATTTCCACGTTTTTCGAGTCTTTTCGATTGGGTTACATCTCATTAGTCTAATGCAATGTATATAACATGATTTTTACCAGATTCTACGCGCGAAGAGGCGAACTCAAAAGGCAAAGGCATAGCGAGGTAAACTTTGGATCGTGTCGAGGTGAGTAATTTAATTAAATGATGCACTGAGGGTTTGAAACCCGAAAATTATACATTATGATGCTATAATGAGGTGACTTGTACGCTGGGCATGAGCGTGGGGTAGAGCACCGTTGGGGATTGAGACTTGGTCCATCCCGGTTATTGATATTATTGAATATTTAATAAAGATATACTATTTTATATCTTGAATTGGGCTTATTGCCGTATTTGGGCTTCGTGCCAATGACTTGAAAGTCCATATGATCGTTACATCGTTATTTTCCTCAAGAAAGAAAAATGCTATTGATTTCATTCCAAAGTGAAATATATCCTAGATTATTTCCTGGACTGAATATAAAATGGTTCGAAACAGTGGTAACAATGACGCTGTGATATTATTATTATTATTATTATACTAGAACAGTGGTAACAATGACACTGTACCGTTATACTTGCAACAGTGGTAACAATGACACTGTACAGTTATACTTACAACAGTGGTAACAATGACACTGTATTACATACTTGAAACAGGGGTAACAATGGCCCTGTATGATATAAAATGGGTCAGGTAACAATGGCTGACCGGTCAGGTAACAATGACTGACCACGATATTGCGAGTTGAGATTGAGCCTTGAGGGCTGATACGAATGTGTGATAGTGATATTGGGCTCGAGGGGCAATTATGATTTATTCTTTATCATCTTAAAAGGAATAAGTACTTGATATGCATTGTATCTCACTGCAGGTAGTATTATTATGTGCCTTGATTGGATTTCATACTGTCAGTTGTTATTTAATTTTATTACCACTGGGTCGGAATACTCACTTTACTCCCTGCACCATGTGTGCAGATACAGGTAGAGCTGATACGGCACCCGAGCGTTGATCGCACCCAGCCAGGCTGTGTCGAGGAGTGACGAGGTAGCTGTTAACGTCCGCAGCCCCGTTTTCTCCCTTATCTTTTGTCATTTCAGTTATTTGCCAGATTTGTAAAATATTTATATTCTCTGTAGAAGCTCATGACTTGTGACACCCCGATTTCGGGCTGAGTCGGGATGGGTTTTTGTTATACTATCATGCCTAAAATGCCTTCTTAAATATATTACTGTTGTTTAAGTATATAAGTTTTGCGATTTGGAGTTGGTTGGCCTTGTCTTCACGAGAGGCGCCCTCACGACCAGGGTTGGTATTTTGGGGTCGTGACAAGTTGGTATCAGAGCCTAGGTTTGCTAGGTCTCGCGAGTCATGAGCTGGGTTAGTAGAGTCTTGTGGATCGGTACGGGGACGCCTGTATTTATCCTCGAGAGGCTGCAGAACCTTTAGGAAAACTTCATGTTCTTGGAATTCTTATCGTGCGACTTTGTTGGTCCTGAAACTAAACTGATGTTGTTCTATTCTCTCGCAGATGGCGAGAACACGCTCTAATGCTCAGGACGGACGACCACCATTGCCACCTACCAGAGGTCGTGGTCGAGGTCGCGGTCGAGGCCGTGGGCGAGGTAGGGCAGCACCTATAGACCCTCCAGTTGCCCCAGTTCAGGCTCCAGCTGCAGAGACTACAGCAGCAACACCTGTTCAGGCACCAGCTGTGCCTATTATTATTCCGGGTCTTCAGGAGACCTTGGCGCAGATTCTGACAGTATGTACTGGTTTGGCTGCAGCAGCTACTTCCCAGACAGGGGGAGGTAATCAGACCCCAGTTGCTCGCACGCCGGAGACAGTAGTTCAGGGAGTGCAGGTCCCTGAGGTTCCACCAGCTCAGCCGGTTGCCCCAGTGCAGCCGATGGCACCGGTTCAGGGTGATGTTGTCCCTGTTATGGCGGACGATGAGCAGCGTCATCTCGAGAGATTTACCAGATTAGCACCTCCTACTTTCAGTGGTGCTCGGGGCGAGGATGCCCAAGGTTTTCTTGATAAATGTAGGCGTATGCTGCGGACAGCAGGTATTCTGGAGACCAGTGGTGTATCCTTCACTACTTATCAGTTCACTGGTGCAGCTTTTAATTGGTGGGATGAGTATGAGCGGCGTAGGCCGGTTGGTTCAGCGCCATTGACATGGAAGGAGTTCTCCACTCTCTTTTTGGAGAAGTGGGTGCCTAGATCTCAGAGGGAGGAGTGGCGTAGGCAGTTTGAGTATCTCAGACAGGGAGATATGGATGTTTCTCAGTATGAGGCGAGATTTACGGAGCTAGCTCGTCATGCTCCGTGGATAGTCCCGACTGATCGGGACAGGATTCGGAGATTTGTGGATGGGCTTAATTACCCCATTCGTATTCTTATGGGCTGAGAGAGGATCTTGAGCCAGACTTTTGAGGAGGCGGTGGATATTTCCCGAGATATTGAGATGGACCGTCATCTAGAGAGAGAGGATCGGGAGGCTAAGAGGCCTCGTGGTTCCGCCAGTTATAGCAGTGCTCCATCTAGGGGCCACCAGCAGCAGCAGGGTAGGGGTCGTTCTTTCAGGCCTCAGCAGTCAGCTCGCTCAGAGCATCGTGGGCCATCTTCAGGCCGTGGTCAGCAGGGCTTTCAGCAGAGCCAGTCATCATTTAGTGCTCTTCCAGCTCAGGGTTCTTCACAAGCCCCATCGGTTCAGGGTTCTTCTGCACCGAGTGCGCCAGCTAGTCACTCCGGTGCGAGGGGTTCTTTACAGTCTCATCCTCCAGCATCTAGAGGTTGTTTTGAGTGCGGAGAGTTGGGACATGGGTGGAGGCATTGTCCTCACCGTACTGCTAGTTCATCACAGCAGAGGGGTCAGTCCTCATCTTCCGCACCAGTTATTTCTGCACCCACCCTGTCAGCTAGGGGTGAGGATCAGGCAGCTAGAGGCCGCCCCCGAGGGGGAGGTCGAGCGGGCGGTGGTCAGGCTCGTTTTTATGCTCTTCCAGATCGAGCAGATGCTATTGCTTCAGATGCTGTTATTACAGGTATTATCTCAGTCTGCCACACAGATGCCTCTGTTTTATTTGATCCCGGATCCACTTATTCCTATGTTTCTTCATATTTTGCCCGACATTTGAGTATGCCCCGGGAGTCTCTTGCATTACCTGTTCATGTGTCTACCCCGGTGGGCGATACTGTTATTGTGGATCGTGTGTATCGGTCGTGTATTGTGATTATTGGGGGTCTGGAGACCCGAGTTGATCTACTGCTATTGAGCATGGTAGATTTTGATATCATTCTAGGCATGGATTGGCTATCTTTGCATCATGCTATTCTAGACTGTCGTGCTAAGACAGTTACTTTGGCTATTCCGGGTATTCCGAGGATCGAGTGGCGTGGCCTGACTGATTATGCCTCTAGCAGAGTAATTTCTTTCTTGAAAGCCCAGCGTATGGTTGGGAAGGGCTGTTTATCCTATTTGGCTTATGTGCGGGATGTGGGAGTTGAGACTCCTAGTGTTGATTCTGTCCCAGTTGTGAGGGACTTCCCTGATGTATTTCCCGCAGACCTGCCGGGCATGCCACCGGACAGGGATATTGATTTTGGCATTGATTTGGTGCCGGGCGCTCAGCCCATTTCTATTCCTCCATATCGTATGGCACCTGCAGAATTGAAAGAATTGAAGGAGCAGCTTCAGGAACTCCTAGATAAGGGGTTCATTCGGCCTAGTGTGTCCCCGTGGGGTGCACCTGTCCTTTTTGTGAAAAAGAAAGATGGCACAATGAGAATGTGCATTGATTATAGGCAGCTGAATAAGGTAACAGTGAAGAACAAGTATCCTTTACCTTGCATTGATGACTTATTTGATCAGTTGCATGGAGCGAGTGTATTCTCTAAGATTGACCTTCGATCGGGCTATCATCAGTTGAAAATCTGGGAGTCGGATATTCCCAAGACTGCTTTCAGGACCAGATATGGTCATTATGAATTTCTGGTTATGTCTTTTGGGCTGACCAATGCCCCAACAGCATTTATGCATTTGATGAACAGTGTATTTCAGCCTTATCTGGATACATTTGTTATTGTGTTTATTGATGATATCCTGGTGTACTCGCGTAGCTAGGAGGAGCATGCTCAGCATTTGCGTATGGTGTTGCAGAGATTGAGAGAGGAGAAGCTTTATGCTAAATTCTCCAAATGTGAATTTTGGCTGAATTCCGTGGCATTTCTGGGACATATAGTGTCTAGTGAGGGTATTCAGGTTGACCCAAGAAAGATAGAAGCAATACAGGGCTGGTCTAGACCGTCTTCAGTCACAGAGATTCAGAGTTTTCTTGGCTTGACAGGCTATTATCGCCGGTTTGTTCAGGGGTTTTCTTCTATTGCATCGCCCTTGACTAAATTGACTCAGAAAGGTACCCCTTTTGTATGGTCCGATGAGTGTGAGGAGAGCTTTCAGAAGCTCAAGGCACTTTTGACCACAGCTCCAGTGTTGATATTACCAGCAGCTACCGGCTCATATACGGTATATTGTGATGCTTCCAGAGTTGGGATTGGTTGTGTGCTGATGCAGGAGGGTAGAGTTATTGCTTATGCTTCTCGCCAGTTGAAGCCCCATGAAAAGAACTACCCTGTTCATGATTTAGAATTGACCGCTATTGTTCATGCCTTGAAAATTTGGAGGCATTATTTATATGGTGTATCTTGTGAGGTATTCACTGATCATCGCAGCCTCCAGCATTTATTTAAACAGAAAGATCTTAATTTGAGGCAGCGGAGATGGCTGGAGTTGCTTAAAGATTATGATATTACTATCCTGTATCATCCGGAGAAAGCCAATGTAGTGGCTGATGCTTTGAGCCGAAAGGCGGTCAGTATGGGGAGCTTGGCTTACATCCCAGTTGGGGAGAGACCTCTTGCAGCCGATGTTCAGACTTTGGCTAATCAGATAGTGCGGTTGGATATTTCTGAGCCTAGCAGAGTATTAGCTAGCGTGATTTCTCGATCTTCTCTATATGATCGCATAAGAGAGCGCCAGTATGATGATCCTCATTTGCTTGTCCTTAAGGACAAGGTTCGGCATGATGATGCCAAGGATGTGTCCATAGATGGCGATGGCGTTTGAGGATGCAAGGCCGTATCTGTGTGCCCAATGTTGATGGGCTTAGAGATTTGATTCTTGAGGAGGCCCACAGTTCGCGGTATTCTATTCATCCAGGTGCCGCGAAGATGTATCAGGACTTGAGACAGCATTACTGGTGGAGGAGAATGAAGAAAGATATTGTGGGACATGTGGCTCGATGCCTTAACTGTCAGCAGGTAAAATATGAGCATCAGCGACCGGGTGGTCTGCTTCAGCAGATGATTATTCCTGAGTGGAAATTGGAGAGGGTCACTAAGGATTTTGTTAGTGGTCTTCCTCGGACTTTGAGGAATTTTGATTCTATATGGGTCATTGTGGACAGGCTGACCAAGTCAGCGCATTTTATTCCTATGTGTACCACATATTCTACGGAGCGGTTGGCTAGGATCTTTATTCAGGAGATTGTACGGTTGCATGGTGTTCCAGCCACCATTATTTCAGATAGAGGCACTCAGTTTACCTCTCTGTTTTGGAGGACTTTTCAGCATGAGTTAGGCACTCGGGTAGAGTTGAGTTCAGCATTCCATCCTCAGACGGACGGACAGTCCGAGCGTACTATTCAGATATTAGAGGATATGCTGCGAGCCTGTGTGATTGATTTTAGAGGTTCATGGGTTGAATTTTTACCACTTGCAGAGTTCGCTTATAATAATAGCTATCAGTCCAGTATTCGGATGGCCCCGTATGAGGCCTTATATGGCAGGCGGTGTAGATCTCCAGTTGGTTGGTTCGAGCCTGGTGAGGCTATATTATTGGGGACAGATTTGGTTCAGGATGCCTTGGATAAGGTAAAGGTGATTCAAGATAGGCTTCGCACAGCTCAGTCGCGACAGAAAAGTTATGCGGATTGGAGAGTCTGAGATCTATCATTCATGGTTGGTGACAGAGTCTTACTGAGGGTTTCGCCCATGAAGGGTGTCATGAGATTCAGGAAGAAAGGGAAATTGAGTCCACGGTATATTGGGCCATTTGAGATACTTAGAAAGATTGGAAAGGTGGCTTATGAGCTTGCTTTGCCACCCAGCTTATCAGCAGTTCATCCGGTATTTCATGTGTCTATGCTCCGGAAGTATATTGGAGACCCGTCTCATGTTTTAGATTTCAGTACAGTGCAGTTAGATGAAAATTTGACTTATGATGTGGAGCCAGTGGCCATTTTGGGCAGACAGGTTAGGAAACTGAGATCTAAAGATATAGCATCAGTGAAGGTACAGTGGAAAGGTCGTCCCGTGGAGGAGGCAAATTGGGAGACCGAGCAGGAGATGCGGAGCAGATACCCATACTTATTTGAGATTCCAGGTATGTTTCTTAACTCGCTCGAGGACGAGCGTTTGTTTTAGTTGGGGAGAATGTAACGACACGAATCGTCGTTTCCTATAATTATGCCCCGTAAACCCCGTTAAATGCTTGTTCATGTTTCAATATGTGTATTTGGAGAATTTGAGTCAATTCGGATCGAATTTGGTAAGAAATGAGACAATTAGTCTCCTTAATGAAGAGTTAGTTTGGAAAAGTCAACCCAAAGTTGACTTTTGAGTTAGAGGGCTCGGAACGGATTTCCGATGGCTCGACTAGTTCCGGGTGATGATTTGTGACTTAGGAGTGAAAACGGAAGTGAATTCGGAGGTCCGGTGTGAAAGTTAGCTAAGATTGGCGAAGTTAGTATTTCGGCGATTTCCGGTTGATAGGTGAAATTTTGATCCGGGAGTCGGAATGGAATTCCGATAGTTCCTGTAGCTTCATTAGGTGATTTTGGACTTGTGTGCAAATTTTCAGTTGATTCGGAGATGTTTAAGTCGGGTTTTTGATCGGATATGAATTTTGAAAGTTTAAGTTAAAGTTTGAATTGAATCTTAGGATTTTGGTAATTTTTGATGTTATAGGTAGCGTTTTTATTGGCCGAGCAAGTTTGAATGAGGTATTAAGTCGTGTTGGTGCTTTTGGTTGAGGTCCCGAGGGCCTCGGGTTGATTTCGGATGGCTAACGGGTCATTTTTGAAAGATTTTTGCCTTTTTAAGCATAAATGTAATGAACTAAAGGCTCATTTTTAGTTCTAGAGATCCAAAATTGATTCCGAGACTTCCGAAATTTAAATCATGAATTATAGGACTGATCTGAAAATTTTGGTTTAATTTCACCAAGTCGCGATCGGGTTTTTGACGCGGTATGTGAATTAATTGTTTAACGAGCTAAATTGAGATTGAACTGAGCAAATGAACTCCAAATTTAGTTTTGTTTGGACTGCTAGATTCGTATTGAAATTACGAAGCCGTAGGAAAAAGAATCGACTAATTCCGAGTTCGTATGATGGAGTTAGAGTCATTTTCTCGAAAAAGGGCTGTGCTGCAATTTCTGAAAAAAAGCTGCTGTTTTTTTTTTTGGAATAGTGAACAGTACCTGCGGTTACTGTTCACCGCAGGTATATTTTCTGAGCAGTCCGATTTTTGGTCATTTTTATCACTATTTCCAACCGATTTTGAGAACATTTGAACGAGATTGAAGGGAGTTTCGACTGGGAATCATTGGAGGTAAGTTTTATGAGTTAAATACATGATTTTATTGAAGAATCATCCTTGAAATTCATGAAAACATAGCAAAAATTCATATTTAGGGCTTTGAATTTCAATTCTTTAAATGAGGATTTGAGGGGTCAAATGGACTCCGATTTTGGTAAATTTTATATGTACGGACTCGTGGCGAGACGAGGAATCCGATGATGTGATTTTCGTAATTTTTCGAGACGTGGGCCCGGGGCTCGGGTTTTGTCAATTTCGTGAATTTCCACGTTTTTCGAGTCTTTTCGATTGGGTTACATCCCATTAGTCTAATGCAATGTATATAACATGATTTTTACCAGATTCTACGCGCGAAGAGGCGAACTCAAAAGGCAAAGGCGTAGCGAGGTAAACTTTGGATCGTGTCGAGGTGAGTAATTTAATTAAATGATGCACTGAGGGTTTGAAACCCGAAAATTGTACATTATGATGCTATAATGAGGTGACTTGCACGCTGGACATGAGCGTGGGTGTAAT